TTTTATTTTTTAAGTTCCCGAAAGGAAGCAAAACAATAAGCAGAAAATATTCATTAATTATAAATACTCGAGGTCAGATAAATATGATTGAATCACACAGAAATGCAGAAACCTTACAGAAACTACTAACAGCTCTGCAGTGTGAGAGCTGAATATTTCAGTTCAGTCCAAATCAGTCCAAAGATGAAGATATTGTCTATAATGCCGTATTTACATGCGTTTATGTGTTTGTATTTATATGTGTTCATGTTGGGTGTCAGGAATGAGGATGAAGATATAAAATAGCTCCCTGGTCTTCCAGTCTCTTGAGCACGAGAGCCTCCTGATTGAGATCATGGTAGGAATTCTGAAACAACAACGACATTCGGTTCGACATACGGCAACATATATGAGAATCAAAGCACCAACCACAGCTCAGTTTTTCCATTGCAAACGGACGCTTTAAAACCAACCTTCATGGATTTCATTGTCTCCTTTCCGTAATAGTGGATGGGCTGTTTCTGGTTCCTGGACTCTGGATATCCGAATCCAGCCACGTGCACAACGTCACAGTAGTTCAGTGCCACAAATACAGCCAGAATGCCAGAGGTGGGGTGGACTAGTTTCTGACGGAGAAACAGAGAACGTGCAGATCAGGTAAAGTGTGTTTAATAGTGTTTGTCCTCCTGCAGGGGGCGGCTGAAGACAGCTTTAACTCTCCTGTGAAAGAATAAAAACCCCATGAAATCTTAGCTTTTAGTTCAAGTCATCTATAGCAGGTTTTATTGCTTATTTGCTATACAAATGTCTAATCAAATGATCTCCCTTCATTTAGTCCCACTTGTAGACGTCTCGAAATAAGCCTGTAGTGTAACATAACCTATTGGCTATTAAAAATACAAAAAGAAGAAGAATAAGTTCTTTCACGTCCCGCACAAGCTTTAATAGGAAATATGTCAACGTAGGACATAAAACTGTGCTTTTAAACAATTTTATGAGGTTTTAAATTTTGTAAAAATGTTTAACACACACATACGCTGCCATCAAAACAATGCAATAAACCATTTCAAATGTATTCTCTGTAAATTATTGCCAGACATCAACTTTTAAGTTGGAAACTTTCCACTTACAGTAGTAAAAGAAGGTAATGCATCTTGGTTTTTCCAGCCCTGACTGCTTAAGTTGCGTCAATCTCTCTCTCTCTCTCTCTCGTTCCAAGTCATTAGCTTTTCCGTATTGCTCCATGATTTCCGCAGCTACTGATCTGTGCGCTCCCACACAAAACACGCTCATACATCTCCACAAAGACATCGCACATCTCAGCCTTCCTTTCCACAACACTGTCACCATTTCATCATGTTCATCATTAGAACAAGAGTTCATCACCTTTCCTTTCCAAATGTAGATGTAAACATTATGCAACAGCACTGTTAAACACCAACATCACTTACAAATATCACGTTTCTTAAGTTTTACTACGCATGTGCTATTGAACACTGAAGAAAACAGTACTTTGACACTTTCTGGTTGTCAAACATAGTAGATCTGGTTTACAGTAATGCCACTAACTTCTGAACTGTCTCTTGTTCATTAGAAATAGAATTTTTATAACACGCAATTGCGAGTTAAAGTCAAATTTTGAGGGGGGGGAGGACTGATATGTTCTCAGATTTGCGAGTTTATATCTCACAGTTATGACCAATTTTGAGGGGGGGGGGACTGATATGTTCTCAGAATTGCGAGTTTATATCTCACAGTTATGACTTTTAACACACAATTGCGAATTTGTATTACACAATTATGAGAAAAAAAATTCAGAATTGTGAGATAAAAAGTCGCAATTCACTTTTTTATTTTTTATTCAGTGGCGGCTACGGCCTTCCATAATAATAACCCTGGCTAACTAGTAACTAACTAGTTTTAAACGGTAGATAAAAATAAAAGAGTTTAAAATGAAAAACAAAACATAATTACTACAGTAAATTGACCTTTTTTAATTAAGTTTTTATTAATTCAATACTCCTGGAAATCATTATTTTTTTTATAAACTCCCTGTTGTTTCCATGCTTTCTATGACCTTGTGAACCCTGAAGTCACAGACTAGCCTGATGATTTCCTCTAAATAGTTTCCATTTTCTTGTTCTACTTCTAATTTTAGACGCAGCAGTTCTACTAGCACTTCCTACTGACGGCTGACAGGAAGAAGGCTGTGCTGGTTTCTGCTAGTCAGTGTCTAGCTTAAGAACTAGTTAGGCCTCCCGCGTTCGACTGAAGATATCACTTGTTGTTTCAGTCCGTTTCTCTGACTAACAGCTCCAGAAGTGGCTGTGAATGTACACGTGTGTTTCCCACAATGCTCCTCATGTTTACTGACAGAGCACGGCTCGGTTTGCCTGCCTCCCGAGCGCGTCGTCTCTGCATTTCTGGCCGGCGGCCCGGAGTTAGCAGGGGTCCCTGTCTGCGCGGTACACACGAGGTCAACCTTCTTAAGAAGCTAGAGGAATATAAAAAGCGAGACGGTTCATCTGATGCACGTGTGTCTGTAATCTGTCCAATCACGGCCCGACAAACATGCAGAATAAATGGCCGCCTGACAGAAATATGTGGAGGGGTGTGCCTCCAAAAATACAAAAGTACACAGAAGGGAAATAGGATATACAGTATGTGTGTGTGACTAGTTGATTAGTTTAAAAATATGGATGACAAAATGATAAAGAAAGACAGATTGACACAGAGAGAGAGAGAGAGAGAAGAGTTGGGTGGGGAGGAAGTGCGATGCACTTTGAGCTTGTTCTTGTGTTTCCTGGCTGTTCCTGGCACGGAGCAGAAATAAACAGACACCTTTCTAATCATAATTCGCTGTGGGTTTATCAGGACACATGTGGACTCTGATTCGAAAAACACTACAGATAATTGAGCGTACAGACAAACCTCTTGGCTCTCTTTGACAAACAAGCAGAACCCAACATTAACACATGCGAGTGAAAATTGCCTTTGCTGAGCGAAACGCTCGCCAGCTGGATTGTGATTTTATTAAAAACAGCATCGTTTATGGTTGAAGTCGATCTGTAAGAATGATAGTCTGACCTTCACTACTGTAAAGGCGGGCATACACGGTGCGATTTTTGCTGTCGTACGAGCTCGCAGGCGATTTTTTTCTCTCGGGAGAAAATCGCAGATGCTCGCATGGTCGCGGCTCGTACCGTGTGAGAAGAATTACGGGCCGATCCGAGACGTTACGAGCACCTCCCGTCCTCCCGATAATTTTCAAACATCTCAAAAAAAATCAGATGCTACCGGTTTAAATTCGTGGCATATGTGCGGTTGAACGAGACGATTTGGCGATCCATCTGAAGTTGACCAATCAGAAGATGACAAAAACCATATAGTCTATAATAATTTTAGTTTAATTATACAGTTCTATTTTTTATTTGTTATTCCGAATGTGCCAAATTTGCCGTCCAGCTGTATGAATGAATATGCATGTTGTATTTCCAGCAAAACGAGCAGAAATTCAGAAATGGCCTAACTGTTACTCCCTCGAGTTCTTTATGAAGAACAGAAAGTTTCTCTGCTTTTCTCTGCCATGTCCTTTGTCTTCGTTTTTTTTTTTTTGGACGTCACAAGCCGCCTGCCACAAAGAAAACCATGTCGTCCTCAGAATCCATATTTTTATGAATGGCGCGAAACGTAATGCTTACGTCAGAGTTTGTAAAATCGTAGTAAATTCGTGTCGTGTGTGACTGCCTCCGTACGATTTTCGGATAAACTCAATCGTGACATGTGCCAGAGCTCACGACGTTCTGACCTTCAGAATCACACCGTGTACGCCCGCCTTAAGTGACGCAAACGAAAAGCAAAGGCATACGATACCATTCAAACGTTTGCGGCCAGTAAGACTAATTTTGTTTCTTTTTTTAAAGAGAATTTCACTGACAGACACAATTGATCAAAAGTGACAGCAAGGACATTCATAATGTTACAAAAGATTTCAATTTCAAATAAGTGCTGTTCTTTTGAACTTTCTATTCATCAAAGATTCCTGAAAAGTAAAATGTATCAGTTTCCACAAAAAAAATATTTAACATGGATAATAATCAGAAATGTTTCTTGAGCAGCAAATCAGCATATTATAATGATTTCTGAAGATCATGTGACGATAAAGACTGGAGTAATGATGCTGAAAATTCAGCTGCGCATCACAGAAATAAATTACAGTTTAACAGATATTCACATAGAAAACAGCTATTTACAATTATAATAATATTGCACAATATTACCGTTTTTACTGTAATTTTGATCAAATAAATGAGACTTCTTTCAAAAAGATTAAAAAGCTTCAGACCCCAAAACATTTGCATGAAATCTGTCTGCTAAAAATGTATTGTCTTCCAGTGTCACCTGGAAGATTTGCAATCAGAAACTTCTTTGTGTGTCTGTTCATAATGCAAATACAGTGTTCCTCCCACAAAGCACAGGAGACTCAGTTCTGATTTTAAGTTTAAAATATATTGGATAAAATGATTGTTAATTCAATGGAATTATGTTTTCTTTATTAATAAATATTTTAGAAAATAATAATAAATAATATAATATATATATAAACACATTTATACTTAAAACAATTTATTTATTTTAATTATTTTTTTTATTTTTGGATGCCTTAAAATGCACTTAATTTTCATGTCAAGAATCCATATATGATGCATGAAAATGCAGCAACCCA